TCCACGCCTCCGGTGTAATGCCTCCATGGAGGACGGAATTAAAGAGCTTCTGAAGGACTTCAAGTACCGGTTTTCCACCCACTTTCAGAAGCTCCGCTGTAATTCCATCCTCGCCTGGGGCCTTACCGTTTTTAAGGTGCTGGAGAGCCATTCTAATTTCGCTCAGACTGACATCCGGGATATCTTCGGAATAGTGTCGGATAAGACTCGCTCTTGGATCGTTACTCTTATCGTTACACTTGCGTGTGTCTCCAACGATGACGTGTACAGCTGCCCATAGAACCTCTCAATCTCACTCAAAATCTCAGGTGCCCCGGAAATGATGCTGCCACACTCGGTCTTCAGCTTTGACAGTTGGCTCTTTCTAGCAGATAGATCTCTGGCAAAGACTTTGGAGCCTTGGCTTGTTAGTTTTTTGAGCCTGTATTGAAGTTGCGTAAGCCCCGCCGCATGCTTTTGGAGATCTGTCTGTTTAGTTGCCTGTATGCTGTCAAATCTGTTGAAGAATGCAGCTTCATCTCCAGTCTAACAGCCATGAGATTGAGAGCATTTATACCAAACCCAAATTATTATACTAGTTTGTACTATGGTCTTCAAATTCCTAACTTTACATTCTCGCTAATCTGAGTTTTTATACGTAACATATTATTCTTCCCATTTCTTTTACCATTGGCCAACCAGAGGTCACTGTGGTTCATCCAGACCTGTCTACACCCCTCTATTGTTGACATACCACGCATTCGAACCCAACGGCTTCCTTCATATTTGTAATGCGTTACACCAATGGTGAAGAATAATTTTCCAACATCTGTATTTCCATCCGGTTAAAGTGTGGGTGTCTGTCTACAAGGCAATAGTGATTAGACTTTTGTTAATACGTTCACTACGGAAAAAAAATCAGTAACTTTCATTTGGTGGTTGGTAAGAAACATATCCATCAGACTTGAGTACTGAGCGTAACAGACTGAACGAGAGACACCACTCAATATATAACACGTCTCATCGTATTGTAACATCTTTGCGGAAATATGATGTAACCTATATTGTTATATATTCAAAATATTCACTCTTTGGTGGAAAATCAACAAATAAATATTTGTAATAAGAACGGTACAAATCCCAATATATAAAGCTCCACGAGCTATTGGCTGTACTATAATTAAGACTGCTTGCTTTGCATTTGACCACATTTTTATGTCTCTAGGGAGGGAGAGGGGCAGCTGCCCCTCCCTGCTCTCTCTTGGCGACCCCTTGATCACATAATTTGTTAGGTAATAGGTAGACGGATGACTTACAAAAAAACAAGTCGTTATTAATTATAATTTAATTATAAATTGAAACAACAATGGCAATTGAGTTAATGAAGTAATTCTAATCATTATACAATATAAACAATACCTTTTAAAGATATTTACTATACAAATATTTTTAAATATAAAACTAAATAGGCAAAAAGATATATACAAAATCATTTATTTAATGATTCTTTCAAAAGTCCTGTCTTTTTACAATTTATAATACTATGGCACGTCCCTTCTAATCCTTTATAGTGCAATATTTCACTGAAATTTAAATTGATTGCAAAATTTTTGAATGATACACAGCTTAAATAGTTAATTTACAACAAATTACTTCATATATAATTATAATATTTACAGAAAAATTAACTTAAACAAATATTGAGAAATAAACAAACCAAAAAGTATTTATAACTTTAAATGTGTTATTATTTATATAAGTAATTGTATGATACAAAAACATAATTATTTATTTTGTTATATATATACAATTGTATAAAAGGTTTATCTTCAAACTTAGTCCTGGATTTTGCATCGTCTTTTGTTTTGTTTTGTACCTTTACAATTTAATTAGTTGAAAATGTTTAATTAAAACTTATTGAGTCGGAATGGCAAGATAATCTCAAAGGATTGTCAAACACTGCTTCCATTAAAGCTTCAGTACAAATAGGAACCTAAAAAAATATTCTTATACAAAACAACTTTAAGAATACACCAAAATTAATAAATAAACAAATTACAAATTTAACGAAAAACATGTTCAAGCTTAAAACATTTCGATATTGTGATAAATCAAAGGAAAATAACCAGAGCTATTAATACAATTCTCTATTTGATGACTGCTAATTATTTATAATTCTATAAGACTTTTTCCATTCCATTAATGTCCATTTAAACTTTTTAACATTTTATGTTGTTATACACTCGTAATTATTAACTTCGTACTTGGAAACTTTTGCTACGTTCAATATTTGAAACTTTAAATTTAAACATAAGTCTACCTCGCACAAGAATGTTTGTACAACACACAATGTTTGAGTGCGTGCGTTGTTATTGGTTTTTTCTATAACATATCTTGCAAAGTTATGATGATATCTACTACTCCAAACCAATTTCGTTTGTTATTAATGAATACAAAAGAAATAATCCATTAAAATCGTAAGTCTTTTTTTCTGCCTCTAGACAAAAATTAGTTACGAAATGGGTTAATACAAAATCTATTGTACCGTAATATAAAAATCCAAATCCATTTTATTATTGAATATGATATTGAAAATACAGTGTCGTTAGGTTAGTTACCTAATCAACTCCACCCCCCCCCCTTCCCCGAACAAGGTTGTCGTGGCGGGGTTTCTTAGTAGCCGTAGCTTTGACTTAGCTAACGTGGCAGGCCCGAGGTGGAATGACCAAGGTGACCGCTTCAGATGAAGGAGTTGTCTTCTCGCTCTGCCCTCCACAGACGAGGTTTAGCCACGATGGGAGAAGAGATTTGGTTTTGTGGCGTGGCGCCACTCGCCCTATCCTCCACGACTTTAGCGCATCAGTGATGCGGTGGGGCTGTGGTGAAGCCGTGAGAGAGAGAAATGTCGGAAGGCTGGTACTTCCGGGTGCAAGTGTTTCCTGGCCCCGTCATCTCGTGCGATCGCTTTCAGCGTGACGGACTCGTGAGGGGAACTTCGCGACTCGTGCCAAAGTGGAAAGAGAGTCATCTAGAAAGGTGCGATTGTATTACGGTGCGCCTTGCCTAAGGAGAATAATAGAGGGTGCAGACGTTTGGAAGCAGCTAACTCTTGTGGGGCCATTGTGTGCAGACGCGTTCACGAGACCTTTATACGGAAATGGTGAAACAAAATGGGATTTAAGTCAGTGTGAGTCTGAAATAACCCGTCCTTGCCCAGTGAAGCGGGTATGATGTAAAAGGTGGTAGAGCCATGCTGCAGCCATATTTCTGGTATAGTTGTAACACGAATGGGTCGGCTCGACCGGGGAAGGACCACGATCTCACAGAATACCAGCGTAAAATAGCAGCTTAACACTGCTGTGTTTCGTATGGTGAGTGTAGAGAACCAGAGATCCTTTTTACTGGAAACGAGGCATTCCATCTTAGTCCTCACGGGTGACAACACATCTGCATTTTGATCGGTAATCAAGGATAAATGTAGATGTCTGTGGGTCACAGCAACCACTTACCATCAGGTGGACTGTGTGCTCGTTTGTCACCCGATCCTATAAAAAAAGGTATTTATTTTCGTGTCTGATTGTGTTCTGGGCTCCGCAATTGAGTTTTTTTTTAAATAATAACTCGAGTGTTATTCACGCTTCGTCGTATTATTCAATTTAAATGAATTAAGTGAGTAATGTGAAATAATTCTCAACGTATGCAGAATTCTAATTAAATTTCCTTTTCAATTCCAATGCTTTAAATTTCTTTGTAGTCATGCCTTTATCAAATTCTTTTTTTTATTTAAATAGCTTTCAATAAAATTAAATTATTGTTTGCTGATGATTGATTCATGCCGAACACAATTTAAGCTTCATATACATTTAGATCCAATCGCAACGCAAAAACGCCACTCATGCCTTATTCTCATATCTTTATTGTAAATTTTGAATATAAAGGCCAAATGTTTTACTTTATTGCTTAACCTGTATTGTATTTATAGTATTACTTTTCAATTTCACCAATTTTTTTTTATTCTTTATAATTGCAGTATAAGTTTTTAATTTAGAAATATTGGACGCGTAATACATATAAAGTCAGACTCTATTTTTAATATTGCTACTATTGTAATATCGGCACGATAAAACCTTTGTCTCAATTGATTGAATGTTATTGTTGCGTTTACGAGTTATTTTAAGCTATTAAATTTAATTTTTTTCATTCTATTTATTAATTAATTTTGAATTTCACAAGTTTCAAATCATACAATCATATATCACAGTCGTTTCATGCGTCAACTTAAGTAGAGATTAAAGAAACTTCATCACATCTATATTTCGTTTATGTATTCCTTTTCAATTAAAAATATATACGGATATGCTTTATAATTTTTTTTCTATAATCAATGCTCATCACGAGTTTCTTGATTATTATTACTGGATCTTTAATATAACGCTATCCCAAGTCATTTATTTCAGTTGAAACCTGTTTTCAACCAAATATTTTATACAATTAAAATAAAAAACAGATAGCCAGTTTCCTCAAAAAAAATTGACAATTAATGGTGACAAACGGGCCACAGTCTAACAGATAGTTTGGTCATCCTGATAATAAGTAGATTCCTTGATCCATAAACTCCGTGTACTCAGTGTCACTTAGAATCTTCAATTCCCATCACTCACCATTAAAAGCAAGGTTGCCAGCTGGTATTCTTTGTAAACCCTGGTCGAGCAGACCCACTTGTGCTAAGCCTATTTGTACAAATGTCGTGTAGCTCTTCCTTGTCTAACGATGTTTTATTAAACATTACGTAAGAAACTGTGATATTAAAAAACTATTACAAATTAAGAGATGCTGGATTGATTAAAAAACGCGTGGATTGAATCAAAACGGAATGGAAAATACTTTTCTCTAATACCAACTTCAACTGTTGTTTTATCTCTATTTACGAACCATTTCTGTTTCTTTTTAATTCCATCTTATAATACAGATTTGCTATTTTTCCACCGCGATGTCTCCTTGAAACTTAACCGTTAGTTCCTTCAACAAAATCCAGGATTCGTATGTTCAATAACACATCTCTTGCAGTACTTCTTGACGGCTTTATAACCGCGTAGTGTAACTGGAGTGTCCTGAATATTGAGCTGCGTTAAACCTCTGCAATAATATGCGACTGCCTCAAGACCATCATCGCCTATCAGTTCACAGCCACGAAGGGCGAGCTTCTTTAAATTTGGACAACATCGAGCGAGGATCTGAAATAGATATAATGATTTTAGAACATACCACGCCACACATACACACACACATAAGGGTAAATAGTCTTTCGTACAAATTAGTACTCAGATGCGGAGGTACGATTCCTATATTAAGTGATCTCTGGTATCATCAGGTATCATTACAACCCCTGCAAAAACAAGTTCACTGTAAACATAAGGTTTCCCTAAGGAATGTCATTAAGCATTTTTTCCTAACTGTTGTCGGTTCTTCGAGGTATATGGCTAACCAATTGCCTCTGTTGGACTATTTTGGTTACTCTGGTTCTGTTATAGATATCATCTTCACAGTTTCTACCACTCGCAACAGTATAATATGTATATCCTTCCCAAAAAGAGAATTACACATATTTTCATTTTACTTTTTTTATTAAAAATGGGCCCACTCATAACCTCCAGGTCTACTATGGAGCGAACGCCTCGAAATCTTTGACCATACTAATTAGAGGTGGGCGATGCAAACTGTTTACTGATTCGAAATCTATATATTGGTACACTATCTATCTAAAAACCGCTTACTGGTTCGTTCGAAAACTATGTACATATTACAAAATCTGGTATTTGCGTACCGCCGCAATGCCTATATCGCATCTCATCGGTCGTAGTCTAGATTCGCCGTGTGCGACAGAGCCCCAGCGATATAGGAAATTACACTTTAATAAAGTTTAATTTCTGTTGCCTAGTAATGATACATTTCAAATGTTATTGTTTTTTAAAGCCTAAAATCGAGTGCATATTATATTGTTTTATTTAAAATCTTCAATTTACTTTTAGATCCGCCAGAATAAGTGTAGTGGAAGGGAAAAGTTGAGCTTTTTATTATTTTAAATACCTTTTGTGTTGTAAATAAATAATAAAGACACTATATATCTACTATTTTAATTGAACTATTTAATCAATATTATATGAAAACTATTTTAAAAAAAAATAAGATTAAGTTAATAAAATATAATCAAAATTGGTTAATTGTTTTTTTTTAGAATTCAGAAAATCGCAAACATACATAATGTTATGTACATACATACGGGTCGAATGAAGACCTTCCTTTTTAATTGTTTTCAACAGCGTATCGGAGTAGAAAATATAAACGCGTACGCAGAATATATAGATATTGAAATATATAGTTTTGATATCAGATATTGATATTCAAAATTTGATATAGATACGATTCTCAGTAAATGCGATACGACCCAGGCCTACTACTAATATTCGTACGACGTGCCAGTTGTTATTAGACGTTTAACAATTTGCTAATGAAAACGTTCTACATGTACGAGTATAATCGAAACATTAGATGATGAATGAATTGTGCAATCGTCAATTTTGACCCAGTAGCTTAGTGGTAAATTAACTAATATATTTGAGTTTTGTATAAAGTAAGAAGCTATAAAGTAAAGAAAAAGTATTTACAGCCTATATACGTCGTATTGCTGGACATAGGCCTCCCCTTATTCCTGGGAGGTTTCAGAGCAAAAAAATGTGGCCCAATACATATTGGCGGACTTCATATGTTTTCGAAATATTTCTATTAATTACCCAGGCATGCGGGGCTCCTCACGAAGTTTTCCTTTACCACGAGCACGTGGTAAATCAGTACTTAAAACTGTAAGTAACAATTTCAGTAGTGCTGGCGGGGATCGAACCCGGGTACTATAGTCCGGGCATATTGTGAAATTTACAACGAGCGCTTAGGCGCTGGGCTAGCACTGCTTTAATTTTTCTAAGAGAATAAAAATATGTAAATTTACCTGTAGTCCAGCTTCAGAAACATCAGTAGCTCCCAAATCCAAAGCCCTGAGTCTAGAGCATCCTCGCGCGATTGCTTCCACCCCGTCATCCCCCACCGCCCCGCACCCTCGCGCATTAAGGTAACGCAGCTTGTAGCAGCGACGGGTCAAAGTTCGAATACCGGAGTCGGACACCTAAATAAAGGCGTTTAAATTATTAATTATAATCTAATAATAAATAGTATTTTCATCACAAACTAAGTAATCCTTGCTTTTAACACACCAGTGTTTTACAATCCTCATCGTAGTCTTATATTTTGTTCAATTATATTAAGTAATAATATTTTATTTAAATATTACGTACTTTATTCGATAATTTCATTATCGAATTTGTATAGGAACAAACATTTTCTTAACGTTATCTATATTAACCGACTTCAAAAAGGAGGAGGTTTACAATTCAACTGTATGTCATTTTTTGTATATATTTACGCGATAGCTTCGAGAATTGTAAACCGAACTTGGTTTTATTAAATAGGTCATGTACCTCTGAGGTATATTACCGCAAGATAAATAAATTTTTCTTTATCGCCTCCCAGAATATGGCACAGGTATGATGGGATGACTATATACATACTCGTACATAAAAGTTGCGCGCGGTGAGCAAGGTATTTATAATGGAATTGGATAGTATAAAGTGGATTAGAATAGAATCTTTTTTATTCCAATATACATTACAAGTAATCCTTATTGAAACTCATCGTTTACTTATACCACTGGTTTTGAAAAAACTTTGTTCTGGGAAGTACCAGCAAGAAACCAAGCGGGACGGGGGTTATTAAATTTTTAGATGTAATCTAAAAAACTTTAGCCACTAACCTGGGAGCATTTCGCTACTGAAAGATATCGCAACGCAGGTCCCAGCTTCGCCAACTCATACAAACCGAAGTCCGTTACCCCGGTACAGTCAGATACACTTAATTCCTTTAGCGCGCAGTATGAGGGTATCCATCTCACGCCAGCGTCTATAATAAAAAAACGTTTTTTTTTTTTTTTCAAGAAATTAAAGTAATAGACTGGTTGACCATAGACGTCCTACATCATTTTTGCATATTATTGTTCATGTGCAATCTTATAGGTAGCACAAATTAAGTAGAGAGTTTTGTTAAATAGTTCAAAAATTTTATTAACTACGTAATGCATCTTTTTAGATTAAATTATATGATTTTTTTGTATACAAAGTTTAAGTTGCTATATATGAAATATTTACAAATGCTTTCGAACGCTCAATAGAAGTTTTCAGTATAAAACAAATATCATGTAGAAAATAAAAGAAATGCCAATAGAAACGTCAGATTTCCTTTCTCCCTTCTCAAAGATTACCTCCCTGCTTCGGAAAGGCCTTAATTTGGCAAATTAGCATTTACAAATTGATGATAATAACGCGACATTTTATTTGACAAATGAGCACACAATCCACCAGATGGTAAGTGGACTGTGGCTCATAAACATCTACATCTCCGTGGCTCCGTGACGCAGTGGCTTAGCAATCAGTTGTTGCGCTGGGGGCCGCGGGTTCAAATCCCGCAAGGAACAAGTATTTGTATGGCCTACAAATAATTGTTCCGGGTCTGAATGTTTGTTCTTGTGCAATTTATGTTTGTAAACTGCCTCCACGACACAGGAGAAAATTCTAGGGGGTAACGTTCTTAAAAAAAAAACGATCTATCCCAGATTAAGAATCAAAATGCAGATGCGTTGTCACCCCTGAGGACTACAATGAAACGCCTCGTTTCCAATAAAACGAGTCTCCGGTTATCTGCAATCACCATACTAAAGAAAGCAGTTTTGAGCTGCTATTTTACGCTGGTATTCTGAGAGCGTGGTCTTTACCCGGTCGAGCCGACCCATTCCTGCTACAACCATAATATAGCTGCAGCATGGCTCTACTACGTATATCTAATGTCGGTATGTACATCGTGTATATTATTATAAAATTTGCAATAAAACCCAGTAAAAACAGCCCACCGGCTGACATTCAACACAAAGCATTAGTTTGCAACGAGAATCGCTGTGAGGATAATCTAATAAAGTTGTTGCAATATTAAGCGAATGCAATAGCTGAGCGACGCAGGTAACACACGGTAATGACGGGTTCGTATTGATATTTAATAGTAAAATTACCGAGTGAGGGCCTATAGTCGCCGGCGAGATGCAAATATAATAACTGTGATTTATTAACGGACGCGGTCTGCATTGCCGGTGATGATTTATGGTAGAGTGAACTTTAGTTGACGATATGATGTATTACGTGTACACTTATAAAAGAAGTGCTAAAAAGAGAAGTAAACACGTTTTTAATATACTTTTAGTTTAATGTACTTATAAAGAACTTTATTTTTCTGCCCAGAGCGGTGAATAATTATACTAAATATAAAAGCGGTCTTCTATATGTAGAGTTATGCTGCAACTATATTAATAGTATAGTTGTAGCACGAATAGGTCGGCTCGACCAGGGAAGGACCACGCTCTTACAGAATACCAGCGTAAAATAGCAGCTTAATGTTGCTGTATTTCGTATGGTAAGTGTAGAGAACCGGAGACCTTTTTTACTGGAAAAGAGGCATTCTATGCTAGTCCTCACGGCTGACAACGTAAGTTTATTTTAATTCACAAACGAAGATAGATGTAGATGTCTATGGGCCACAGCAACCTCCTACCATTAGGTGGACTGAGTGCTAGTTTGTCACCATTATTCTATATAAAAAAAACCGGGACAACTATAGCATATGTATTTGCCAATCTATGGTTGAGAGCTATGTTCAGCATTATGTTACCTATTTAGTTTTCGTACCTAACAATATTGGTAAAGACTTTTCTGTCATCAACTGAAGATCATGATTTTTACAGGCTATTTCTTTTAAAGTTTAAGGTAAGTGATTACCGCCACCTATGGACAACCGCAATACCAGGGGAATTGCGGGTGCGTTGCCAGCCTTTTAGAAAGGAGGAGCAGAAAGGAGAACTTTTCTTGAAGGTCCCTAAGTCGTATCGGTCTGAAAAAATCGACAGTGGTAAAAACGTCCACAGAGAAGTTTTACGAGGAAATAAATCCTAGTAAAATGCGCAGTAGTGGCCAAGCATGCAGATGGTGAGGATGGTGTCGTGAATTTTGACGCGAAGTGCTTTGTGTATTAATGAATTTATTACTGGCGGTGAAAAAAACTTTATGGTATGCCACAAATGGTGGTATATCATCTCGTAAAACCTAAGTCCTGCGACAAGGAGCACTGCTATCACTAATCCGCCTGACAAGCATTGCGATGACTGCAATGAATAATGCCCTCAAACAGTGAGCTTCTCAGAGTAATTTTTTGCTACCTACTTAGATCGCACGCGTTAAACTTACATTTCATCTTACAAATATTACAATCATTACCTTCAAGGGAAAAAACCACTTCTAACTTAACTTTCTGTACCTAGCTTAAGCTATATTCTAATACATTTTTATTACTTAACAAACTTACCTGTGACTAGAGTGCACCGTCGAAGGTAGAGATATTGCAATGAAGGGCAGGTATGGAGCAAAGCGCACAGCCCCGCGTCTGTCACTGAGCTACAGTCTGTCAGATCTATGTACTCGACGGGTGGTCTACGGGCGGCTAACCGGCTCTCCAACCAAGACCATTCTGGCCAGTCTACGTTTGAACAACCTGTGAAGTTGCGTTTAATACACAAATGGTCGCCAAGTCTGTAAATTTTTAAACTTTGTACATTTTGGTTCCTAATAAGTATCTCTTAATTTTGTAAGAATATTAGGTCGAAAAATGAGTTAACAATCCACCCAATTGTATAAATTGGTTAAAAAAGACTTCTGCAGCTCATTGGCACCTAGAACCAACTTGAAATAAAGACCACATATACGTAATAAATTGTCAGCCCTAAGGACTAAAATACCTCACAGCCTCTTGCACTGCTGCTTAGCGAAGATATTTAAGAGGATGCTATGAACTTATGAACCTAGATAGATTCTTAGGCAAAATATGAGCCTTTCCACCTTATTAAAATCTTATAACATAAATACTTCATTTTAAACATGGACACAAGTCGGTGCATCTTTGCAAACTTCAATGACACACAAATCTCCATATTCAATCCCTTATAAATCCAATCTAAATTTTAAAAAATATTAAAACTTGATATAATAATATATTTCTTTTTTAGTGATTCTTAAAATTATAGCGAACTGGCGACTAAAAAACCAATCAAGCGAGATTCAAATTTCGAAATGTTTATCAGCAATAACTACATTCAGAAATATGTTTCGATAATGATCGATTTTCGAAACGGTTTCTTCTAAATTACTTCAGGAGAAATATATTGTAGTCCTAGTTTGGTCCGAAACCTCATAAATACGAATCGTTGCAAATAAATTATATCCATTGCCTATACCAAAATAGGCAAAGATAACAGCGGTAACTAGCCTACAACGAAGTTAGTACAAATATTCCAATTCCATTTTAAATGGTAACACTATTAATCCGATTGTTCGAACGAATAACCCGTGGAAGTTTGCTTATTTTGTTCAATGGCAAATAGGAATAAGTGATCAACAAAGATAATTTAGTATTTGCATCTGAACTAAAATTGTTAAAATAACTGTAAGCAGATACAAGTATAATTCAAACTTGCCAACGGCAGGTTTTATTTGGTGTGTTTATTTTTACCACAAATATTAATATTTTTTACTACGTAAAATTTTTGTAAAATTTATCTGATAATTGTCTATAAAATTATAGTAGTACGTAACTTATATTTGTCCTATCTATCTTCTAAGTTAAACCAATAGCCACGATTAACATTGTATTTGATATTTTAAAATTTCGCGCAAGTGCAAGCAATAAGTTGACAAAGTTTTAAAGCAATATGATGAACGGTATGGCAGCGCATAGAATATGAACAAACAAACGTTAATATTTGTGTATTAAGTTTCTCTAACTGGCATACTTCTCCATTTTATTTAATCTATTATCGGTACAATTTCTGTCGTCTTTTCATTATTCGTTAATTTATGATTCTACTACTTCCTTACCGTTTTCATTTTGAGGCCATTTTTCTCATTTCATTAAAGATGTGGTGACGTAAGCAGCCAGTATAGAGTTAATATTCGCCAAAATTGTCACGCTTAGCAAGCAGTTTGGAAGCCGCAGTAAAGAAAGCCTAAAAGGTATTACTTCTTTGGGTCCAATAACAACATTAACACGTCATCAAAATATTTACCAGTAAGGTCGATATGCCTCAAATCCACAAGATCAGTAACAATTGGGGCCAGGGCTCTAGCATCCATGCTAGTTGAGCCAGTGATCGCTAGGTGAGTGAGGTGCCTAAAGGTTGCTGCTAGCAGTTGCGCACCAGCCACTGTTACCTGCAAACAAGATTATTAAAATGCATTTTTCGTGATTAAAAACAAAGGTACTTTCTTATTGATGTTGGTGCATCTGATCATACTTGTCAATTGATATCGATTCCTTCAAACAAAAGCTTTAAGATAAGTTCTGGTATATGTTTCTAAGAAATCCAGCCATTTATATAGAGATTTTCTTAAAATACCTATGACAGATGTTTATTCACAATTTAATCCTAATGACGCGTATACAATATTTTTAGATCAGTATAGTCTGATTTACGATCTTTGTGTGCCAAATAAAAAAATTTAAATAACATATAAAAAGAGCCCAAAGTGGAAAACAAAAGGTATTATGATATCCAGTAAGAACAAAAGACAATTATATTTACAGTAACAGTATACAAACTGTCATGCTGCGAAAAATAGATACAAAATTATTATAAAATTATGAAAGCAGTTAGTAAGCAATCAAAAAGAAATGCAAACATTAACTATGGAAACCAAAGTAGTAATAAAAGCAAAGTTATGTGGCAAGTTATTAACCAAAATACTAAAAAATAAATCGTATTGATGAGACAATAGAAACCATTCAAAAAGATGACATTACAATTAATCAAGCACATGACATAGCTAAATTAATAAATGACTATTATATCAAATGAAATAATCCTATCCATATATAAGTATTTGTATGGCCTACAAATAATTGTTCCGGGTCTGGATGTTTGTCCTTGTGCAATTTATGTTTGTAAACTGCCTCCACGACACAGGAGAAAATCCTAGTGTGGGGGTAACGTTTTTAAAATCTATAAAAATTGAAAAAAAAATTAATAGCGGAACCTTTATCGTACATTATAAACTTGACCTTAGAAACAGGATTATTTTCAAATGAGTTAATAAAAGGACTAATAAAGCCTTTGTACAAGAAAGGTGCCAAAAATGACATGAACAATTACTACACCTATTGCCCTATTATCAAATTTTTCAAAAATATTCGAATAATTCATATCAAATTGGTTAATATCTATTTTAGACAAATATAAGATTTTAAATGTAAATCAATTTGAATTTCAAAAAGGGAAGAACACGACATTAGATTTATTCAAAATTTTGAAAGATATTTGGAGAAATGTAGATCACAAAAGGTATAAGTCCTTTTGTGATCTACATTTCTCCAATAGTCTTTTTTTAGACCTATCAAAAGATTTTGAATGTGTTAATCATAATATATTGTTAAAACAGCTTGAACATATAGGCATACGAAGAATAGCCCTAAAATTAATGGAATCTTATCTAACTGACAGAATACAGGCGACGATATTAATAACATTTGACAAAAAGAAACAAAATTAATGACTCAAGTGCAATCCGATTTCAAAAGATTAAGTCTACTCTTTGAAAAGTAACCCTGTATATGACGTCACACATGTCAATGGGCCATTACATCCAATACCATCAGGCGGATTGTGTGCTTATTTGTCACCTTTATCTATACATCTATATAAATAAATAAAATTTAAGTATCTGTTTATAGTGTCAAAAAACAACTTTTTCTAAATGCATATAAAACACATACAGTACTTATAACGAAAACACAGTTTTTAACAGATATTTTTGTCTATCTGTCTGTTCCGGCTAATTTCCGAAGTGGCTGGACCGATTTTAACATTTTTTTTATAGGAGAGGGGGCAAACGAGCATGCGGCTCACCTGATGGTAAGTGACTACCGCCGCCCACGAACGACCGCAACACCAGGGGAATTGCAAATGCGTTGCCGGCCTTTTAAAAAAGAGTAGGCTCTTTTCTTGAAGGTCCCTAAGTCGTATCGGTCCGGAATGACCTTCACTGGCAGGTAGCTAATGTTATAAGGAGTACCTAAGGCCACCATTATTTTAGAAAAATAAAAAGGGTTCCGCGTAAAAAAATAAAACCCTAAATTACACGCGAGCGAAAGAAATTGAAAGATAGTGATGATGAACCCACAACCATACCAACTATTAGTCGATCGACGTCTATCGATGATTGAACAATGTTTTATCGGCCAGTATCAGTCGATTATGTACGTGGTAGAGCCTTTCTGCAGCTATATTAGTAGTATAGTTGTAGCACGAATGGGTCGGCTCGACCGAAGAAGGTCCACGCTCTCACAAAAACCAACGTCAAATAGCAGCTTAACAGTGCTGTTTCGTATGGTGAGTGTAGAGAACCGGAGACCCTTTTTACTGGAAAAGAGGCATTTCATCTTAGTCCTCACGGGTGACAACGCATCTGCATTTTGATTCGCAAACGATGATAAATGTAGATGTCTATGGGCCACAGCCACCAATTACCATCAGGTGGACTGAGTGCTCATTTTGACAAACTGAGCTGATCTTTTTTTTATAGGATAGTGTGACCCCTATCCTATAAAAAAAAGATCAGCTAGAGCTACCACACCAATCGATCGACATCGATTGACGTTGATCAATGGCATCGATCGACGATCGATCGATTGGTGTGGTATCACTCTTAGGCTTCTTTGTTTGACGTTGGTCGCAATCGCAAATCGCATCTGCGATTCCCCTGGTGTTGCAGTTGTTCATGGGCGGCGGTAGGCACTTACCATCAGGTGAGCCGCATGCTCGTTTGCCCCCTCTCCTATAAAAAAAAAAGAGACCATAGGCTGTAGTAGCCACTTACCATCAGGTCTGTAAGTCCGTTTGTCACTTCAGTTTTTTTTAAAAAATATGTTATATTTGCAATAACAATAAAACGTCGTACAAAAGGTGGTCCTGTTGTCTACAACAACTGTAATTAAACATTGATAAAACCCTGTTTATCACTCACAGTAATCTTAAGAACCCGATCTAAAAGATAATTTACAAGGAATAGCCAAACAAATTTAGAACTATGGTGTTATTTTAATTAACATTATTTAAGTTTCCTAAATATCAACACAACGCAACGGTCCGTACTTAATTTATTCATTACAATAAATCTCACGCTCATTGGATAAAACATAAACAACTAATTTTGAATAATATTTACGCTTTACTTTGCCTTTAGTAGCGTATCAATATTCTACTAATCAATAAAACGGATACTTTCACCACTTAAATTACTACATTTGAAGTTATAATAGCTTTCTGTAAAAAATATAATAAGTTTACTAGATATTCATCGGATTAGTTTAAATAAACTTAGAACAAATAACTACATTACGAATTTATAAAATAATAGCATAATCTTGTTGTGTTTTGTATTACGAGTGCAGACAATCGAAAACTTTATTTTTTTATTGGCAACGAGGTACACCATCTCCAGTGCTCAACGGTGTCAATCCATCCGCATTTTGAATCTACTTTCAGATGGACTGTGTGCTCGTTTGTCATCCTTCATCATTACCATCTTCACTGCCATCAATCCACATATATATATATGTGGAGCCTTTTGATTTTTTTTCAATTATATGTACAAAACTTACTTAGTAAAATTAAGAAAAAATGGTTTGAAAACTATACAACAACAGCAGTATAGTTGAGGCATAATTTGTTACTTTTTTCTGAAATGTTAGAAGAAATAATCATAATTTTACAATAGATCAAGATCGAGAGAAATCCGTAACATCAATGCTAACAGATTTTGCAAAATAAATAGCCCCAAACAAGGTTTATATTACTTAGGTAGAGTTAAATAGATGTTTCTTTATCAAGATTAATGAATATTAAGCTTATGATAACAGTAATATTGTCGGCTTATTCAGTATATATAAAAGGTGAATATACAGAAGTACTGCAACGAGACACATTTTTAAAGTTAGGTGGTTCATTACTAAACTAGCTGTGCCCCGCGGTTTCACATGCGTATATCACGTGTCTGAGCCTGAACATGACATTACATTTAGTTTAAGCATTTTAGACATCAATGTATGGAAAAAGTGGCAAAATTAATGGAGTACTTTTATCTATCAGCATATGTAAGTTATAGAGCGAAGTTAAATTGTATCCACTCTACCTCCTCCTCCCGGGTGAGCGCCACGCACGCCCCAGAAAGTGTCCCGAAGCGCGGTTTTCTCTTTTTCATTTTACTTTTTATGCGTCTTTTCCGCCCCGATCCGAGTGTTGAATTATTTTAATTTTTCATTATCTCTTAAACTATTCGTCCAAATAATCTGCTATAAAAAGCAAAGTTTATCTTCATTGATTTTTCTTGACCATAAAGTAACTTTCATTCGTAAGGATAGTTACAACATTGCCTCATAGGTAAAGAGCCTACATAGCAGCGACCCCGATACATTGCAGCGGCACGAAGCGCAACTCAGCAGAACGTGATTGGAGCTCAACAATATATACGTTTACTTTATTTTTGTTGTAATAATTATAATTCATTCTAGATCTAGCATCGATCTGGTTCAATTCTTTTCTAGGTTTAATAATCATGTCATTATATTTTTTATATTACAATAAATTATTTTAAATTAGTTTCAGTTTTTGGGTCCTTCGGCTGCAGTTAACGTAATTGGATTAATATGCCATGCCTAATAATAACGCCCATAAATTACTTTTTAATCTAATATATAAAAATTAATGTTTCTTTATTCGTATTTTATGCGCTGCCCGGTATGGATGAATGAACGGTAGTTCATCGGATTGCGGTAAAACTTTGTCAACTTATTGCTTGCACTTGCACAAAGGTGATAGGCATAGTACATTTACTTTACAGTAGGTGGCGCGTGTATCGCATCGACAAATATATTATAAAGTTATATATCATACAATACGATGGCTATTCGAGTACGAAACCAATCCAATTGCAGAGAGGTGTAAGGCATGGTGACATCATATCCCCGAAACTCTTCACCGCTGCATTGGAAGACGTTTTCAAGCTTCTGGACTGGAAAGGATACGGTGTCAATATCAATGGCGAGTACATCACTCACCTTCGATTTGCCGACGATAAAGTCCTTATGGCAGAATCGCTGGAGGACCTAAGCACTATGCTCAATGACCTCAATAGTGTTTCACAGCGGATAGGTCTTA